TTCGTGGAAGGTCAAAATCCCAAGATTCAACAAAGTTTAAATAAATTTTCTTAAAGATATTCTTTGAGATGCAGTGAGCTGTGGCGGTTGGATAAAACTAAACTTCTCTTAGAAATTTAAATTGAATGAAAAGAGAAAAAAACTACGAGGAAAGACATAAGAGGCCACAAGAACGAGACTTCTTTGAAGTTTTCATACCTAATCACCACCGCGAAGAGTGGCACGTGTCATTTGACTTCTTTGCTGAAAATAGCGTTGCAGGAAAATCTGACACCATGTAATCCGATCTCATTTGAATAAATTTTATTTGAAAAAAAAACAACACCCTTCTTAAGACTCTCTCATTCATGAAATATTAAAAAAAAAAATGATGTTTTCAATTGTAAAATTTCTCTTCAGTCAAATAATATTTTTTAACAAACTAATAAAGAAAATACTTGCGTGGTTAAAATTGAATGGTGGTTTTATTTCAATATGAATTGCTTTTTGTTGCTGTTGTTAACTTTTGATGAGAGTAGGTTTTATTGATAGTTATTAGGTAAAAGTCCCGATGAGAGAGAGAAAATTAGGGGAAACTTCAAAATCAAGGAAGTTAAGATATGAGGTATTTTGAAGATTGATGTGTTATATAATTTCTAGTAAAATCATCATCATTTGTTTTAAAATTATCTATAATAAATTTAGATATAGTTTTATTTATATTTGAGTTTTAAAGAAAAGGAAAGTGGTATCTGTCTGTATTATCAAACGTTGGAAAGAATTCTTATTATTTAAATCAAAGAGAAAAAAAATCAAAGGAAGAAAAGTGATAAATATAAAAATAAATAAATATAAAGGTGGATCCCCTCTTTCCTCTTTACTATCTTTCATTTCAAAAGCAACTTAAATGTTTTATAATATATGACACATCTTTACTTTATAATATTTAAAAAATAATAGGCAAACGTTATAACGGAAAATTCATTATTTTATCAAATTTAAAAGATCACTCGTGTATTAAAATCCAACAAAAATTATCTTTTAATACATTTATTTTGAAAATTCATGTAATTAGTAATTGTATTATAACATATATTGTACTGATAGCTTAAAATCTCTCTCTCTTTGTGTTTTAAATAAATAATAAAATCTCTTATAAACATTACCCAATTCGTGGAACTCTTGTAAGTGCAAACTTATGTTGATGTAAGCAATCACACATATGGTCTCCAAAAAATTTAATGTAACAAATGTTTTAGTAATTTTTTATTGTTTTAGTAATTAAATGTAACAAAATAAACTACACAAATTAAATTTTAATGATGCAAATGAATATATATATATTTTTTAAGAAAAAGTCGTTATAAAAATAATTGTACTTACCCCAAAAAGCTAAAAAATCGCCAAAAAATCGAAACGCATTAAGTTTATCATTCAATGTATTTTAAACAAAAAGACATATAAAAACATATCTTTTAGATAGAGTTTCGCATATCTTATATCATACTTCAAAGAAAAAGCGAAGTAATTATCTACCTAAAAATAATTTATAGCTAAAAAAAAAGATATTTCAAGATTATGTACTGAATTTTTCAGAAAAATAATTATAAATATTTTAAAACAAATTCCAGAATTGTAACTTTCTTTTTTAAGTGATATTTGGAACAGTATGGAGTTTTAAGAGAAAATAATTATATGTTTATACTGTTTATTATATAGCAGCAGTGGCGCACTAAATGGGGAGGATCCCTGTGTTCGAACCCCCCATATCTCTTGATTTTTTTTTCCAACTGATTATAATTCTATGTATATAGTACGTAAAATTTAATAAAGTATTTGTTATTAATAATTAATTTTTATTAATTAATGCTAATTATTTATTCAATAATTAATTTTTTACTGTTTTTTGTTTCCGAAAATCGACAAAATCAAAAGAATATTTTGGGCGGCGTATTGGAGCATGATAGAATTAGAATGGGGAACTTCCGACCTTCCCCCTTGAAAAATTCTTGTGTGCGCCACTGTGTAGCAGAGGTAAGTTTAAGAAAAGAATAAAATACAAGTCTCTTTTTTTTATTCAAGAAAAAGTTCTTTCAATTTTTGAAATTCGTAATTGAAGAACACGCATTGAAGTATATTTTATAGCAACGAGCAAAAAATTTAATTAAAAACGTATAATAAATTTTTCAAATGGAATACAGTATTTTATTTTGTTTCTTTTACTTCTTTCAATCTTGAAGGGAAAAAATGACACTGAGATTTAAACGGAAAACTGTTCGTCATAAATGAAGTACTCATGTAACATCAGAGTTACTGATCGTTAGAAAGGTAACTGATCGTTGAGGAGCACGAATGCAAATTTTCAGGTGTCTCCCGCACTTTGTTTCATAGATGTTACACTGAACACATAAAAATTCATCTCTACACAAAGGTTGGGATTTGTTTGCCTACGTTCTTCATCAAATACTGTCTTTCTTAGTTGAAGATGAAGCATCATCAAATGCTTACGTAACAGGTGCTTATTCCCATATGCGTAGGTGGACAACTACGCGGCACAGAGTAAAGGGAAAAACCAGATATATTGAAAAAGATTTTTTTCCCTTTATCATTTATGTGATCACCCATTTCGGATGCTGGTATAAGGTTGTTTACACTGTTTGACTATAGGAAAGATTCCGTTTTTTATGCGCTGCGGTGGCAAAGGTAAGCTTTGATGACCGCATCGTCACAAGCAGAAGCATGAGAAAAATATCTTTTGAATGTTAAGTTACCAAAGAGTCTGATGAATAATAATCAGTTTTTTTCAACGGAGGAACGTCGTCAGTAAAAGAGGGAAATAAGGTAGGAAAAAAGTATCAATGCTGGAGAGTTGCGAACAAGTTTTTTGAGGCGTCCAGACAGGAAGACGTCTTTATTGTTTATCGAAAGAGAAAATTTTGCTGCAAAGTAAGAAATTCCTTTCCTCCGAGGGTTCATGGGCAAGATGAGATCAGCAGTTAGGAAATACATCATCTCTAAAAGAAAATTAGAAGCGGAAATTTGCGAATAATGCGAAAAGAATAACAACCTAATTTAAAGATTGCTTCTCGGTTAGGAAAGCTCGAGTTGGAGATGAGATAGGCGTGTAGCGAGGAAAATAATAAATCTTTTTTCAAAACGTTTAACCTCTCCTGACTCTCGGGCTTAGATAAGTATTTTTTAAACGCGTATCATCAACTGAATACAATTTTATGTTAAATGAAACAAGAAAGCTGAAGTAGCAAAATTAAATTGGGGGTGTACCAACAAAACAAAACGTTTTACATAACGCTGTTTCTTGGTTTTAGGGAAATTTTGTATCAATATGATATTGTTTTGTGATAAATAGAGGACAGAAATCACATAATTTACGGTTAGTTCTGCACAGCAATGCTTTTCTAAACTAAATGTACCATAAGCAGTTCGTTTTTTCTTTTTCCAATTCAAATTATTATATTCTTACTACTTACGCGCTATTTCTATTTTATGATTGAATCATTACTTAAACCAACTTTTTATGGGTTCTTCTAATCCTCTAGGTTAGTGGTTCTAGGTAAACTATAGTTAGTGGATCCAAGGGGGTCTCCAGCGCCTTTCTAGGGGGTTCGAGAAGTTTTTCATTTAATGTTAAGATTTCCCTCTTTTGCCTCTTGAAAAATTGAAAGATGTGCCATCCTATATTAGAATACTAAATTGCCTCAATGTGGAAAAAAAACCTGCTAGAACAAGTCTCTTCCGATGAATAATATAAAATCAGTTTTTATTGTTTGTAACTACATAGTCATTACTACAACGTAATATTTTCAAGAAATCGAAGAAATGGTTTGGAAAGCCTTAAACCGAAATTCAAACTGCAGATTTCGAATATTACACCTGATATAACAGTACTTGTTTTTACAATGCAGCATCTTTCTCATTAAAAATTTTAATTAATATACTGCTTACATTTATTTACTTGAAATTTGTAATGTTTTTGTATATAATTAGACGTTTACTGTTTTTTTTAAGGAAAAAAATAAGAAGCATTAAAAAAATCGGTAAAAGTAGCAGAGGTAGTCTTAGGATTATTGTGAAGTGTTGAGAGTCAGAGAGAGTTTTTTCAAAAATGGTGGGCCTGCAATGTAAGGCTGATACATACGGGGGATTTCGGCGATCGAAAGTTTAAGAACCGCTGCTCTAAGTGAAACTATTTTCAGGGAATTTTTTGATTTGAAAACCTTCTTCTGTAAAGGAATTGCGAATTTATGTAAATGAACCAAAAGAAACAGGATCAGGGGCCTTGCGGGTCGAGTTCAAAGAATTGATCAGAGTAATTGCTTTAATAGATAAGTATCTTTAGTGTGATAAATATTAGTTAAGATTAAAACAAAGTACTCTCCATTAGCTATAACAAAAGTTATTATTAATTAACAATAATAAGCATACAAATTTTGCTGATTTTTAGAAATGTCTCTTCTTTCGGGTAATCCATACACCAACAAAAGTGGAGGTTCGTTACAAATATTCGTAACATTTATTAAATCATTCAAAAAATTCTAATGAAACTATTACTAATGTTTTAAAATAAACAAAAAGATATATATATATATATATATAACTCTATAACACATTCCATGTTCTTTAATTTCAATTACTTTCTGTTATATACCTAATCGTTTGAAAATGTATGTACTACCTAAAGTTGTAAAGCGCTTCTAAATTTAAATAAGTAATATAAAAAAGGTTTTTAAGTCAATTCCTACATAGGTCAACAAAGGAAAATTTTATTTTAGTTCCTTTTTATTAAATAGTTACAATTAATATAAATATGTATATACATATGACAGATTCACAATATTAAGTGACAAAATAGAAAGCGATTTTACTTGCAATTTTCCAGTTTACTTCCTATATAGGATGTTGCACTATTTTTGTTTGTTTGTTACTACATATTCATTAACTAAATTTAATTATTCTAATAAAACAGTATAGTAAAAAATAAATCACATTCTCAGAAATTAGGTCATCCCAGGTGAGATTCGAACCCACAAACTTTGGATTAGAAGTCCAACGCGCATCCTTTGCGCCACAAGGACACAACGAGCGATTTTCCTTTTTATATAGGTGTTGGACTATTATTTTTGGTGGTTACTCTATTTATTCATTAAGTTTAACTAATGAGTTAATATTTAAAAAAAACTGTATTAACATCAAGTGTCATTTACTGTAAGTTTTAAAATATGTATTTGAACTTGAATGGGTGAATAGAAAGTATTTTATTAACGATTGGAAATTTGAACTAGTTATATATATATATATATATATATGTGTGTGTGTGTGTGTGAACTAATAGTATAGGACCTGAAATATATATATATCCAAGTAAAAATCTCATTTTTTTTCTCAACTTTTTAAAAATCGTTTATAACAGTTCGACTGCACTTGATATATGATTTTCAAAATCCCATATGACTAACATAGTTAATAACAAAACATATCACGATACTCTAGCTGTGTGTGACAAATGAAGGTATGAAAACAGGATTCATGTAAGCAAAACATTAAATGCCTCGCATTTTAAAGGGTTTTTTATGATTTGCGAAATCAAAAACTTCCGGGGAAAATGTTTTAGCAGCTTATATGTGACTTCATCATGGATAACATTGTGATTTTGCAGGAACAAGCAGAAAGCGTGGGTTTGATGTTTTACTGTTGAGAGTTCCTGTTGTTACTATCACTCTTCGAGATTAGGATACCTCAAACAACCTGGGCAGGTTATTGTTATTGTTTTAACGACCATGACCCTTATTATTAGATAATCTGCTTTCCTTAGTTTTGAAATCCTGTAATAAAAAGTAAAGGAATTTCTTTCAACATGAGCTTTACAAACGCCTGTTTGGGGAGATCTTTGATATTAATATATATTCAATACAATTCATTTTATTTTTCACATCGGTTCTTTACATAAAATACAAGTCACTTTTCATTGAATAAAACTTATGTTTATTAAAATATTGTAATTCTTTGTGATGTTTTTTCCTAAATTAGTTTTTTATATGAAATGCCGATACATTTTATTAATTTAAATTAAAATCAAAATTTTTTGAATTTTTTTTTTCAATTTTAAAACACAGAACAAGGCTTAAAATTTTGTTATTAGTAATTAATATTAAATTTTATTCAATAATCATTGGAGTAATAAGCATCTTAGATCCATTTCAAATTATCCAATCGGTTACGAAGATACGATCAATTCCATTAGGGCATCACGCACCATTTATTCCATTTGTGTTTTAAATTCACTTTCAAGAGCAAAAGAAACATAATATTTGTATTCAAACTAATGTAATTGTTAATATGCAATCAAGCAGCTCAAGCGGGCCAGAAAAAAGGAAATAAAGCAATTTGGATCAACATTCCCAAACAATAAGTTAACAGAGTAATTAAGTTATTTGGGCTTAGTACCACTAACATATATTTTGTATTTGGTTCTTTGATAAGAGTTATTATGAGCATTACAATATTACGCTCATTATAAAGTGGCTAAAATCAGAATATACATAAAGAATAATACATAAGAATCTATTTTTAATACATAAAGAATCTATTTTTAAACAAAAAAAAAACAACATTTTGATTACGAATTTAATCTTTCAGAAATTATTAAATTAAAATACTGCTTAATCCGGAGTATAACGTGCACTTTTAACACAAAAATAAAATTAAAATTTACGGGTGCCCCTCGACATACGACGGCTATAAAAGTGATAGCTTTAAAATAATAATAATAATAATAATAAAAGACATAAACATAAGATAAATGGAAGTACTGTTTATTTAAAAGAAATAACTTACCTAATGAACTTAAAGGCTTGTAGTTCTGGAAATACGCAATTATTTCAGAAAAGCTCGGGATAATACTTCAAATAAATTTTTTCAAAACAAAAGAAGATCCCACACATACATGTCAGGTTTCTTCGTAAAAATGGAAGTGCGCGTAATACGGCGAATACAATGGCGCACACAAGGGGAGTCCCCGAGCCCAGCCCCCCCCCCTCATTTCCTTCGATTTTTTCGATTGATTATAATCCTATGTATGTAGTATGTAAAGTTTAATAAAGTATTTGTAATTAATAATTTATTTTTTTAATTGGCGCTTATTATTTATTCGATAATTTTATTTGTACTTTTTTTTTGTGCCTGACAATCGACAAAATCAAAAGGATATGTTTGGCGGCATAGTGGGGTATGATGGTCTTTCGACTCTGGACCACCCCCTTTCCTTCCTTGAAAAATTCCTATGTGTGCCACTGGGCAAATACATACAAAAATTTAAAAATGCGGTTTGAAAGTATAGTTACACCGGAGTATACGGTTGTTTATTTTTTTTAAATCGATTAATGAAGTTTAATAAAGAGAAGTAAAATTATTATAATACATTATAACTATACAAGATATATATGTGATATTCGTTTTTATAAATTACACTAACGAGCTTCATACACACATTTTTAATACTTACAAAAATATTTTTAAATTTAATTAAAATATACGAGTAATGTGAAAATTTTTTAATTAAAATGTTTTTCACGAGTTCTTGTTCAAGCGGTGGTACTATTTTTTCTGAAACCTGCTGAAAAATTTTAATGTGTTCTCACGTAAGGAATGCGAGTTTTTTCATTATAATACAATGATATTTTTTAAAAATATTTGGAAGGCGTCTGTACTCTCTGAACCCGAGCCGCAAAGCATATTTCAGTCATCCAAATGACTCGAAATAGTCTGACGCAATTAATAAGTCAAGCGAACCGAATCGTGTAAATCAAAATATTATACTCATCGACATCCAACAACAGCACTTCCTTTCCTTAAAAATACACAGAATTGATTGGAAAATATTTTGTTTCAAGTTTTAGCTGTTTTCATTATGGAAGAGCAATGATGAGTAGAAGCTTGAACACATTTGCAACGGGAAAACAAAACTCGTTCTGTTTGCTTTAAATTCCTTTTCTGTATTTCTGTTCCATTTTTTTAATGCTGTATTTGCTGCCATTAGTCTTCTTTCCGGGTAATTTTCTTGAAACTTAAGAGGTTATGCTATACAATAAGAATAGGTAAACATTTTTTTAAATTCTTCAGTTTGTCTTATTTTTTTTTAAAGAAATTCAATGTCCCTCATTATTTCCGCCTCTTTTTTTTTATAAAAGTAAAAACTGAACATCTTAGGCGAGATTCGATGTTTAATTTCATTTAGCAGTGTTATTTGACATTGGTTAATGACTATTCTCATAGAAAAAAAAAGGAATTCAAGGAAGAATCAAACTGGTGGCGTTTTTGAATTTTTAATTGATCGTACCTATCTCTCTTCTTTTTTTCAGCAGGTGCACTCGTGATGCCATTGACCTTGAAGTTTTACTTTTAAATATAAGATTATGAAAGAAATGTGACTTCACAACGATGTAACGAGTAATAATTAATGAAATATATGAGTATTTTTAAAGAACTTTGACTCAGTTTTAGTGTATGATGTTTATAATGATTGTTATATATAAATTTTTAAAAAAGAATGAGTTGCAGTGGATCAAAACATTAGTCATTAAAATTCCAGGTAACATGATTAACAAAGGCTTTGTTTTAAAAAGCCTATTTCATAATTAAGGGACTAGGCTAGAAATTAAAAAATGGTTTAATGGAACGATTTAATTAAGATTCATTTGTGAATCTTTACTTAAGCATATTTACTGTTAAAAAAAGTTTTTAAAATGCTCCTAATTTAAAAATTTAACAATTTAATTTAAAATTAAAAACGGCAATTTTGAATGTAATACTTGGTTGCTCTAAAACTAGAGCAAAATAATGTATCATATTAATAAAAAATAATTAAGTAGTCTTTTAAAATAAATAACATCTACGCAGATATTTTCAAGTTATTTAAGTTTCATTCGAAACTTCTTTCTGAAGAGAATTATTTGATTGAAGTAAAAAAAAAAAATTCCTTTAAATGTATTAATTATAATAAAAAAAGCTTTGCTACAAAATTTGAATTTCCTTTAATAACTCTAAACTTAAACTCAAACTCAGTGGCTCAACAGCCCACGAGGGCCAGAGCCTACGCGACCATTGGGCGCTGAGGTGCATGAGCAGATATCCCTATCAGGTGGTCAGTCTGAAGAGAGACCCACAGTGTTTAAGTCCCCAAGCAAGCTTGATACTCCTTTATCGACCCACTGTAGTAGGGCTGAAAATTCCTTTAATAACGGCATTGATAAAATGAAGAGACCATATATGGACATAAAGTCATAGGCTCCTCACCCTCAAAAAAAGTCTTAGTAATAATTAGTTAGAGTGGTAAGAAGTGTCATTGTAAGACTGTGGAATCGATTCAAAGAAACAGGGCATGTTTGATGTCGGCTAGGACAGGCCCTATGCTACCACAATAAATAATAACAGATATATCCTATTAACAGCTTGTCGAGACACAACATCCAATGCGAAATAGATTCAAATGCAGTTTCTTTTGACAATTGGACGAAGGGTTTCAAGGCCAACAATTCGAAATAGGCTTCATACGGATGGTCTGTATGCATACCTATAAAATAACTTAAATATTTCCCACACCTATAAAATAATTTTTTATTTATTTCTAGCATTAAAAAAATAAATGGTATGTATTCCGTTGACAGCAAGATACCGTACTGACCCAAGAAAATGGGCTGTTCAATATCGAGAGTGGATGGAGTCAAGTGCTGTTAATAGACAAGTCCCTATTGAGTTAAGTGTGTGACACCAGACGTATTTTGGTATGGTGACAAACGGACACTCGAAATGACCCTATATTAGTTCAGAAAAGATCACGCATTTCACACAAGATGGTTAGATGGTATGGGCTAGATTCTGCTATTTTATCCCATGACATTTGAATCAGAACGTTCTAACATGAAAAAAGAAGAAAATTCCAGAAATAACTTCAATAACAAATTGTTGAGCTTCCATTACTTTATCGATAGACAATTTAAATCATTGCGAGATAATGCTTTAGAATCATAGGTTTCTTTAGTCAAAATTTAGTTTAAAGGCTTTCAGTGACAAATACGAT